TGCTGGACAACGCATACGCAGTCCTTGTGTTTTCACTCTCACTGGGAGATGAAGTTCCTAGGTCCGGACTTTCCGAAGCTGGGGGAGGCGGAGATGATGGGTCGGCCCAATCAGGTCGTAGGAAGCTGGGTTGCTAGGCAATACTGGAAGGTTAGGGCAACTGGAAAACTAGGGCAGTTGTTTTCTCTCCAGCCTAAGTGGAGGTTGCTAGGCAACACCTGAGCCTGGTTTTTTTTTGGGGGGGGGCAAGAACTAGCACATAATATAAATACATTCCAGGTGGATTAGAAAAAAACAAAAATCTGAGTGTTACAGGAAAACATGGTAAGATCATGGAAACTGGGCCTCAGTTGCAGCCCACATTATAAGCCTATAAAAATCACTGTACTGTGTGTGCCCAGAAAGTTACTAGATTAAAAAAGCCTTATTAGCCAGGTGTGTTGGCACATGCCTTTAATCCCAGCACTTGGGAGGCAGAGGCAGGCAGATCTCTGTGACTTCCAGGCCAGCCTGGTCTACATAGTGAGTTCCAGGACAGCTGGGGCTACAGGGAGACCCTGTCTCAAAAAAAACCAAAAAAAAAAAAAAAAAGCCTTATTAATCAGTATAGAAAGATGCAAGCATATTTGGTGGTTTTAGTTGTTTTTCTTAGGGTTTCCCTGTAGCCCCAGCTGGCCTGAAATTCACTGTGTAGACTAGGCTGGCCTGAACACAGAACTCCCTGCCTCTATCTCCCAAGTGCTGAGATTCAAAGCATGTGCCACTAAACCTGGATCCATCTAATTTTTTTAAGATTTTATTTATTTATTTATTTTTGGTCTTTTTGAGACAGGGTCTCCTTGTAGCCTGAGCTGTCCTGGAACTCACTATGTAGACCAGGCTGTCCTTGAACTCACAGAGATCCGCCTGCCTCTGCCTCCCAAGTGCTGGGACTACAGTCATGTGCCACCATGCCTGGCAAGATTTTATTTATTTTTAATATTTACTTATTTTTATTTTATATGTATGAGCCTTATGCCGGCCTGTAAGTGCACCCGTGTTGTGCAATGCTGAGGTCAGAAGAGAACCCTCGGATTCCCCTGGAACTGGACTTACAGACAGTTGGACAGTTATTAGCAACCATACGGGTGCTGGGAAATGAACCCAGGTCCTCTGCAAGAGCAGCCAGTGCTCTTAACTGCTGAGTCACCTCTCCAGCTCCCAAACCCTATTTTTTTTTTTTTTGTCTTTTTGAGATAGGGTCTCCCTGTAGTTCCAGATGACCTGAACTCACTATGTAGACCAGGCTGGCCTTAAACTCACAGAGATCTGCTTGCCTTTGCCTCCCAAGTGCTGGGACTAAAGGTGTGTGCTATCACGCCCAGCCAAACTTTACTTTTTTAAGCTAGCACCTCTCCATTGAGCCCAAAGCTCACCATTTGGCTACACTTGCTGGCCAGGGAGCTTTGGGCTCTCCCTGTCTCATTCTCCCTAGCACTAGAGTCACAGACTGTTCCACTATGTACAATGTTAACACACGTGTTGACAATACAACCTCAGGTCCTGTTGGGAGCTGTTAGCCAAGTGCTGGGACTAAAGGTGTGTGCTATCACGCCCAGCCAAACTTTACTTTTTTAAGCTAGCACCTCTCCATTGAGCCCAAAGCTCACCATTTGGCTACACTTGCTGGCCAGGGAGCTTTGGGCTCTCCCTGTCTCATTCTCCCTAGCACTAGAGTCACAGACTGTTCCACTATGTACAATGTTAACACACGTGTTGACAATACAACCTCAGGTCCTGTTGGGAGCTGTTAGCCTATTATGTACATTGAGCTGTGGCAGGCTTGTTTACTGAGTTTGTGTTATGCATACCAGTACCTAATCTGCCTAATCAGGAGGAATGTGTTTATATGGAGAGCCTCACAATACCTGACCTGGAGGCAATAGTGGTAAACAAAAAGATCAAAGAAGGCTTTG